TGAGGTCAAATGACCATATGGTATTCATCACAATATACAACATAAAGAAACCTAAAGAGCTATAAACACCTTTAGAACTGATGACTTTTAACTCTAGGAACTATTTAAAGATTTTTATTTCTCAATTGCTTGATAAAAATATGAACAGTTGGATATTTTGCTGAAAAAGACTAATTCTGTAAGTAAGAACAATAGGTTTATAATATATATTAGAGTAAAACACAAAAATTAAATAAATGAATGTTTTTGATAAAGCAAGGGCAGCTACTGGCCAACATATGGTTGGGGTCCATGGTGCTGCAAAAGTAGAGGTCATTAAATCACACGTGGACCTCTTTAATTCTACTTAATGATGATAGATGTAAAAAGTTCTATGTGAGAAAATGTATATGGTTTTGGCTTCAGACAGCCCCGCTCAGATTTCCCCAATTCTTGATAACTTCTCAACTGCAGTTCAAATAGGAATCAACTGGTTTCCATCATCTTCTTCACTTCGAATTTTTCAATTTTTTTGCTTTTTTGTTTTCTTCGTATCATGAATCGTATAATGTAAGGGAGGTTTCCGTAATACACAAGGGGAGATGCTTAGGTGGTGGAGAACATGGACTTTGTTTTTATTTAATGAATTTTTTGCTATATCAAGTCTCCACTTATTCTTACCTTCTAGATTCAATCATTTAGAAGGTCAAGATGACCTTGTATCATCAGTGGCATCAGTTGACCCCTAACAAGCACCAAAACAGGTACATGGCCAATTTAATTCTATAAACCTAAATATCAACCTTCATACATGTATACTATTATCAGATCCAGGCATTTAATAACATATGTGTAAGTAATTTGCTTGTTTGGTTAGGCTTTGTTATGACATTATTGCACCTTCTGTTTTAGTTGGACACCTGTTGCCGTGTTAATGGCATCTAATCATCATTACACTAAATGGCATCACCCACTCTCTCATTTGCTAAATTTTCTGGTCCTGTTTATTTTTGCAATATCTCTTTAAAATTTGAATGAACTGTCTGAATTTGTGGTATTTCTATATAATTTAGAGTGTTTCCTTTAAGGCTATGTGTTTTATTCCTCGCCAGTTCCAGTTATTTCACCATATTTTGCATTTGGAATTGCAATGATATGTTGAAGGGGCAGAGTGACATCTCCCAAGGCCGTGCTCTAGTTATGTTCAACTAACACCAAATTGAATAATTGAATAATATCCTTTGTTTCTGTGTATTTCAATCAGCTTTCCAAATAGAATGTCTCCTGGGTTTATATCTTGTCTCACAAAGCTTTGGTTGCATTCATCTTGGGAATCATTATCCGCAGTGAGGAATGAACCATACCCAAGTGGGCTAGAGTTTCGAGTATGGTTCAAAGTTGGACCTCCTACTAAAGAGGATGGAAAAGAACTTAATGTAGATTGAGAGTTTTGTAAAACTGTCAATGTTCATAACTCATTTTATATTGATTTAACGTTTTTTTCCTTGAGAAAAAACACAAGAGAATGTTATTGGAATCAAATTTCCCTAAAATCCTTTTTGTGGGGGTTACTAAGATGGGGGAGTGGTAGCCATCACATCTTTAGATAAGAATAAGGTATAGAGATTGAAGGAAGGTTTGGGGGTTGCAAAATAGTGGCTCGATGCAAGATCATTTAAGGGTGTTTGTAATCTAACTAATGAATGTAGGCTTAGGAGAATGAAATGAGGTATGTTGAAACGGAAACTATGCAGAACAACTTCCATACATCATCGCTTTGCCTTTTGAGCTCTTTCAGGAATCTTTTTTGATAGCCTTGTTACCAGTAAGTACAACACATGATAAGAGACTACATTGTGAAATATTTTGCAAAAATTTGTGTTTGGCCCATTTAGCTCTTGATAAGCATACCCTGGAGGTTTATATATGCTTAGATACTGTTTATGACCCTTTGAAAGAGGGATGACCCTTTGAAAGAGGGAACAAGTATTGATTAATGGGAGTGAAGTTACAGAGATCTCCTTCAGGAGAAAGTGGGAGTAAGTGTATATCTGAGCAAGATATAATTAGGAATGTTAAATATTTCTATGAGTATAAAATAAGGGAGAAGTCTGTTTTGATTTACTTTTTCGTGAGAATTTGGTTTCTTGGTTATGTTTTGGTTGGCCAGTAACGGACGAAGTTGAGGAACTTGAAATACTATTGGTAGTTAAAATGATATATTAAGACATATTATTTTGCCCTTAGATTGTTCAGGCCAGTTAGTATATTGCTACTTGTTAAAACCCAGAAACTTCAAAGTGCTTTTACATATGTACAGTTCAATCACTTGTTACAAAAAACTGTTGAAAGTCGTCTAAGTGTTTTACCAGCTAAACAAATGCAGTTACAAATATATATAAGTTACTACAAAGATCGCATTCAAGTACCTAAGTCTGTATTTTATACGCTGCATTGTGTGAAAGTCATTTTTCAATATTTTTAAGAACTTATTGAAAGAAATGTAAGTAGGGGTAGGCAGCCTTGAGATATTTATGAAGTTTTGTATTAAGTCATAGAGAATCTCATTTTCTGTTTCATTTGGGAAAGGATTTATCTTTGGTGCTAATTTAGTTTGAATCTTGAGATATCTAGGGGCAAATAAGGTCTAGCAGTGTGATCCCATGTGATGCATCAAAATAGAATTTTGAAATAAAGAAAAACCCAGAAAACATTTGGTGAGAATCTTGTGCTTAGGTAAGTCTTGTTTTTAATTGAAATCATAATGAACGCAGATGATTTGAATCATCGTGGAATACCATGTTATGCTTAAGTTACCTTGGCGATTTACTTACTCCTTAAAAGAGGAGGCACAACGAATATCAGAATAGGTTTGTGCGTGCTTCTGTAGATAAAGCGAGGAATATTTCTAAGAAAAAAAATGTTCTTCAATCAAATTAAACAGAGAAATTGTGAATTGTAAACACGAGCAGACGGATTTGGATTGACATGACATTGTCTTCACATAGAGATGGGTCCACTTCGACCTTATTAACAGGATGAGCACCCACAAGGATGTCAGGAACAAGTCTTAATGAGTTATTAATTGAAATTGTCTATCTTTGATCATCTCTGTGATATTGCTATCTGACATTAATTATGGGTGTCATGATTAGAACATTGGCAATATGTAAATCAGTCAGTGGCAGTCTGCTATTAGAGACTGACTTCTGATGTCGTCTGCTTATTCGCTATTTTTGTTCAAATTCTCTGGAATATTTGACTGAAGTGTTTGATTTTAGAGCATTTCTACACTATTTTGAGTATGGACTTCAGGCTTATATGCTTTATTATTTGAAAATTTCTTTGTTTTACACTTTTGTTAGATTTTGTCTGTCGACTTATTGGTATTTTGCTAACAGGTTACTCCTACTGTTAATTATTTGGACTATCATATGTTATTGGAGTCAGGTCATGCTAATAGAAAAATATACTATGGTCTAAATATAATTGGTGGTATATAAGTTCATGTAAATCAGATTATGGAAGAACACTAAAAGAGACTGCGTATGAATCTAAACTTTTTGAACAAACCTCGTTTTTAATAAAATACCAATTTGGAGATTCTTGCAGCCAAATTTATGCATATGCATATGAAGGGAAACTGGTATACTGATATATGGGAGACATTATGGTTAGAGATTTGATAGTGTGATAAATAGAACTTTGATGACATAATGAATTTATGTAGAGATAGAATCCTTCAGGAAATTAAATGGAACCTGATCAGTCCCACCAGCACATGGGATCCCAAAATTGCAAATTATGATTTGTGTTGGAAAATCTGATCAGGGATAACCTATAATCTATGTCTGAATAATCATATTTTGGAAACAAAGAAAGACATATACTCTTTTAAAAGATAGAATATCAATGATTTATATACCATTAGAAAGCCAAGAGAGATGATCTCATAAACCTTTCGAGTCAGGTTTTAGTATTTCTCAATTATTACACTGACACAAAAGTTTATATTAATTTCTTCAGCATTTCATCCTGGCAGTTCCCATATGTTTAATTAAACGTTTTAGGTGGCGATGCAACATATTTCAAGAGCGAAATGAATGGTGGTTTACATAAACTATTATAAATATCATCATTTCTTGGTTCACCGAATCGTATATCACAATAATGAGAGTTTTATATCCTGTGTGTTAAGTATATATCTCTAGACTTGTAATTATCAAGACCAAGTTTCCCATGAATAAATTGTGAGAATGGTCATGTTTAAAACATGAAATGGAATATAAAAGAGAGGAATTAGCAAGGAATAAAGTGTACAGGCATGAAGAATATACCTTGAATTTTGTAGAAATGCATGAAAATCGGAGACTTTATTCAAATTCTATAGAAAAATGATGTGGAGTACTCATGAGTATAAGACATTTTGATTTAGGTTTATTACAGGGATGTGTAGTTTGTTAGCAACCCCCCTTATGTTTTTTACAAACTGCGGAAACTTTATATTTACCTCCTGTCCTTGTCTGATGTATGGTTCTATATTAGATTGTAAAAGTCAATGAAATAGAAGTTTTTGTCACGATTTGATTTGTAGATCAAATTGGTTGTTAAGGAGAGCTTTCATGGTAATTGGTAAGCGAAGACAACATTGTTATGGTAACGTGATATAATAACTGCATCTTTTTGATTGTGATGTCTTCGTTAGTAACGGATTTTATGGCGATTCTGATTATTAACTAGATGTAGATCTTTATTCAGAAAGATCGTTGTTACAGGTGTAGTTTCAAATATTATAGGCTAGATGATATTAATGCTTGAGATGAAGAAAAATAGGACATTTTGTAAGATAAAAAATTTAAGGCAAACAATTTCTGAACCTCTGACCAATTTATGTTACTTTGAGATGGTAAGAGGAAACTGATACAGTTGTATGAGTGTTCTATTGCTATGGATTTCAAGATTTATGTTGCCATAGAAACCTAATTATGCTATAGTAACCATATGTGTTTATATATTTACAGGTAAATGGACATGACTTATCGAAAGCCTCCCACGAAGAAGCCATAGACGCATTCCATAAAGCAGAGGAACCAATTGTCGTTGAAGTTCTACGCCGTTCCGTCAAAAACTCGAGTCAGAAAATGAAATCGAAAAATCCAATATCATGTACCGTGGCAACACAAACCGATGAGTTTATAGAGAATGAAATGTTGTATGGAGTTTACGATAATGAAGAAGAAATTCTTAACCAGCATGGGGTGCCTGGGTAAGTCGGCATTTCTGTTTTCTTTTCCTAATTTCTATTCAAAATCATCAATATACTGAAAAATTTCAAGTATAGGAGCAAAACTGGAGGGGTCGTCTTTTGTACACTAGTATTTGTAAGCACAAAACATTGACAAATATTCCCTTGAATGTCAGGGTATTTTCACTTGCTCTAACATCAAGGGGTGAATATCTTCAATAATATACCCCCAGGCAAGAAATTGACCTTGTCTTTTCTTCAAAGAAGTGATCGAGTTCTGTCAAGGTGCTCAAGATCATATCTTCTTTAAAGTTTACACAAACGTCAATGACGACTCTGCTCTTTTTGACAAGATTAGTGAAAGAGCGCAAATATTTTCTCTTTTTTGATGTACTTAATTGTTCCAATAGACGCGCATGTTACAAAAAGACCCAAGGTCGCAACAACCAAAGCTGTAAGAATTTATTATTAGTAAAAGCTAAATGGTGTAAAGCGTTATGGGTGGCCTGCTTTAAAGAATATCTGTCTGATTGACAGAATATTCTACTTTTACATCAGTATGCATATGTTCCAAACATTTCTTTCAATTCTGAAGTACATTTTTGTATTTTTGTTGTTCACAACAGTCTGAAATCAGAACCTTCAATTATGCACTTAAAAATAATTTACATTCAAAATTTTGGTACCCTTTGCCACAGTCCTACTTCAGATCTCCCAAAGAGGTTGTTGTCAGGTAGTGTGGTATTTCTAGAGCTTGTGAAATTTCAATAAAAGTATTATAGCTCCATTTCAATATCTGGGAATTTTTGGGCAAATTTTCCTTTGCTTTGTTGATGTCTGTGTAGTACTAAAAGCATTCATCATAATTCTCCCATTTATCATGAGATAATTGTTAGGCTCAACCTTGTCATGTTAACAGATTGTTTCTACTTTCTATTGCTCAACAATTAGATAGATAAATAACCAGGCAATATTTCACATTAACTAATCGTTTCGTTTAGTTCTGTAAAGATTCCATGAAGAGATCAGTTATAGCATTTTAGCCGCTCATGCTGGGTTAGGAATATATCATCTCTGGAGAATGTGTGTTGGTTATCTGTTTTTATCTTTGTTTTTGTATTTCCCTATCAACAATTCCAGTTGTGCTCAACAATTATTCAATACAATTGAGGCTTTAACCCTTATTTCTAAATTTTCGTCAGTTTTAGGCCAAGACTTTAAGTTATAACTCTGTACTTTATTTCTCGAGCATACCTCATTTTATCAGAATTTCTGTAAAACGGATGATCTCTGTTGATTTTTTGTATCAGTAGATTAGTATACCTGGCAGATGTACCATACATGTCATTGCATCAAAAACCTTGTGTATTTTGTGGTATTTACCTCAGATTGTCTATAAATAGTACATGTTGAATATACGTTCACAGTCGTTACATGCCTCAGCATTGTTTTTAACTAATTGTCCCAGTCTTGTGAATATTACTTACAAAATCTATTACTGCGTTTCTATTGTATGTACATATGTACCTTTGACAGGGCACATACTTAGGTCTATTAATCATTTAGCAGTTCAACAAATTAATGTCGTTTCTGATTGCATAAAGAGCCTCTTGTCGTATTTATTCATGCAAATCTATTCAAACATAATAGCCTAAACGTATCCTATGTGAAATTGAAACCATCATAAATATTAGTGTTTTTTCTATTTTCATCCATTACTTTTTTTTTTAATTGTATATTTAATGTAACCTTGACAGGCTGCATACCTTATTTTATTAATCATTTAATAATTTCACAAATTAGTGTCATTTCTGATGGTAGACCGGACCTCTTTTCATATTTACTCATGCAAATCTGTACGAACATGAAAGTGCAACTGGATCCCATATGAATTAAAAAGTTTCCTCTTTCATTAGCGAAGGGAATAAGAATGAGTTTATTCTTGTACCTATTGTCATCCAATGACATGACATTGTAAGGTATGACATGATATCGCAGATGTAGACTCCTGAGTTATGTCAGATGAACATACGAAGAATACCATTTAGGCACGTATCGAATTGAAAATCAGCCGCATTTATTCAGTAAAAACCACAGTGATATATAACCAACCATCAATGATTAAGTGAATTAGTTATTAGTGAGAATGTTACAATAAAGAAACACAAACTATATACACGCTTTAAGATTGTGTGTGCTACATCAGTGGTTTGTGGCTATATGCTTTAAAATTTGCATTATAAGTTTGGATGATCCACTTAGAAACAATCTGGTTTTAAGGATACTTGGGTAAAATCAGACGTACTTGATACTTGGAGTAAAGATGAACTCGTAAGTAGAATTTTGCGTGTGTGGAAAAACGAAGGATATACACCTGTATATAATATCCCCCTCAAACAACTTACAATGCAAACACTAAATTAATACCATTCTAAAGAACATACAAGAGTCTTGTACTAAATAACTGCACTTAATAATAAGGATTATAGCGAAAACCCATTTTCTTGTATACTTGTGATTGTGAATGGTACCATTTCAAAAAATGTGCACTTCAAGTACAAAAGGACAATGTAAACTGCACCAAGATTGTTAAATCATTCGCTCACACTTATTGATAACACGGAGTTACCATTATATGAATTTCTGAATCGCTACTATTATGAACAGTACTTGGAGATCATAATATCATCTGGGCGTATATTTGTGCATTCACGTCACGAATCATGATCTTTTCAGGTTCTGTTTTTTCAATCGGAGATGTACTGCTAGTTCCTGGTATTTGAGCATCGTGTGAGCTTCTATTTTATATCTGTTCAATTAATTTCTTGTTAATATTTTCCTCTCTGGGTTTTCATTATAAACATGTTGTGACATAATCCTGGCGATTGTTGTAGATTTCCATATTGTTCTGTTGGGTAAAGCCAGAACAGATGGTTGAGGAACCTGTGTTCAAGATGTCGTCTCCTCATGCATATTTCACACAATTTCTTTCTAAAATTTGAATAAAGTTTCTGATATTTTTGCATTTCTATATAATTTAGAGTGTATACTTCATGTCTGTTCACTTTGTTCTTTGCTAATGACAATTCTTTTCACTCTATTTTGAATTTCAAAACATGACCCAGAAACAGATGGTGGTGGGGGCAAACAAATCCATATTGAATCAGTGAAATAATCTAAGGTATGAACAATTCTACAAATCTGAGTATGAGGAATTGCACTGGATGTGTAGGGCCAGAATCCTTTCTTGCAATTTCACATGGGTTTGACCAATCAGAACCAGTTTGAACAAACAAGGTTTCCAAATTCCATGGGATACCTCAGGTAATCCCTGATTAATTAAGGATTATCCAGAAATGTGCAATAGAGTAAATAGTTGTGAGAATGTTTGTATGTGAAGGGATTAAATCAGATTATGTCCAGATGTAACATTGCATGACATCACACCTTCTACAACTTCCCAAGTCATCCAGTCCTCAGTTGTATGTTTTGGCTACTTTATAGTGGCACCATGTTAAGCTCCATAAACAACAAACAAGCTATCTCCTACCATTCTCAGTTCTATACTTTGCGTATTTCATGCATCTTTGATTGTCCTATGTTTAACATAGGAGAGAAAGGGTGGTTACATTGTAGAAGGGAAAACCAACAAACATTTGAACTTTAGCAGGTTAGGGTTGATCATTTTCTTCTTCACTTCCTTGAGATAATCAACAATAACATCATTTTCTTCGGACACATCTTTAGCAGTTTTATCCAACTTCCACAATGTGCTTGTTTGTGCAGGTTTGTAAAATTGCTGGAAGTTATTCAATTTTGAACAAAGGGACTTGAATATCCCAACATCCACTCCACTCATTTTGAAGTTCCTTATAATCCCTTTCTGTTTCGAAAGTGACTTTATTCTAACATTAGAACAATAGCCATGAGAGTTGTTCAATTTCTCCAGTGTGTCTGATTGTATAATGAAGGACTGTTTAAACTCTTCATACTTATTCTTGGTAAGTGAGTAGCTTAATACACATATATTCACATTTTGTCCTTGTATTCCTGGCCCTACTATTTGCCATTGTATTACTCCCACCCCTTCCCTCTTATCTCATCTCGAGAGAATCACAGTACCCTGAGTGCCTCATGGAATTATCATAAAGGGGTAACATTTTAAAAACTAAAAAACGAACCATATCTATCGATGTCACATTTATTTTTGTTAATTCCTCCTTCCATTAGACATTGTACAGAAACGTGGCTACTATGGAATTAAATCAAGATAAGTGTGAGAAATTGACTTCTGTATAAAAATCGTACAAACATTTTTCCCCGAATTTTTTCACACAATTATGGTTTGTTTGATCGACCCAAAATGTGAACTCCTTTGATATGCTTGCGACATGACATCCATGCTCAAGTTTAATAGATTCGCTTTAATGTTTTCTCACGAAAAGGTCGTTTGATATGTTGAGTTTATATATCTCTGAGGGGGGATGTTGACTATTCATTACCAAGTACTTACCAAAGATCAGCGTTAATACCAAGACAAACTTTTGACACACTTTTGACAAGTGTATTGAATGTAAAGTTCAGTTATTGATTGTTTAAGGTGCACATAAACGATAGGTGGTAAGTACGTTTTTTGTACAGTAATAACTTGGTTCATTCAAAGAGTTGTAATACCCCACCCTTCCATTAAGCAGTGCGGCGGTTGTTCTTAATCCTCAGGGTTGGGGAGTAGGGATTGGGTGATAGTCCAGAGGGGAGTAGGGGTTAGGGATTATAGTCCGGACCCACTACTCGTCTCACTAAACTAATTTTCAGTAATGTATACCCACTGAACTATTTCATTGTTTGTTTGATTGGTTGATTTGATATGCTTGATTGATCGATTGATCTCCAAATTGAATCATTTTGTATGAGTCAATTTGGATTAATCTGCTATCACACATTGATGACTGGGAAAAGTGGTTACCAATTCTGATATTAGCTAATTTATTGGGTTACTATGCAATGTTTGATTGGAATTA